CCACGATTAAGGAAATGAGGGAAAATTTTCGGAAGAACACTCTGCATGTGAACTGGTGAATTAAAAATCATACTCCTTTTAATAAAAAGGAAACTACGAATGTTCTAAGATTTTAGTTTCAAAAATAACGTTTCTTTAAAATAAAGAACATACTCTACAATATTTTAACAACTTTTACGAAATGTAATAAAAAGGTGTTGCTCATTTAAAACCCTGAAACTTTTGTACCAAATTAATCGCCATTTTTTCATATAAATAAATTACTTTACATAGTAAAACTTAATATTACTTGAGGGTACTCGCATATTGAAATTGAAACCTTAAAAACGTATTGTATAATTTCTGCTATAAAATTAGACTAGTGAATTTTTTTAAATAACTCCACTCAAATAATTTCGAATTATATTCTACTCTAGAAATTTATGTGTCAAGGTTATAAAAAACAATCCAGTAAATTTTATAATTAAGATGCCAACACCATGAAATTTAATGATTGCTAATTTAAGGTATGAAATAAAAGACTTTTTTATATGCTTTATTAGCTAAGGATTTCTACGTAAAAAACATTTACCTATTTATCTATTTATGTGCATATATTATGACCCTTCGTAGATCTGAAGCTGAAGTAGAAAATTATTGTTTTTTTAAAGTCTTAAATTTTAGTCCGCATTAAGAAAACACGATGTATAACTAAATTTAAAATAAATTTAGTATTTAATGCTTCCAGTTATAATATAAATGCAGAATATGGGCTCAAATTACTCAAAGGAACAATTTCGGATCAAAAATGGTGTTAAAATATCCATAAAAAACGAAAAATTAAAATATTTCCTAAAATTTTTGTCCTAAGAATTTTTATGATAATATCAAGTGGTACTACAAAATTTTTGGTATTTCAAAATTCAAAAATACCATAATAAGAGAAAGTACTTATCTTCAACACGTCAGTAATATCAAATATTTTGTTGATTCTTGCTAAGTCATTATTTTTTAAAATCATATAAATTTAATTTAATTAATTTTCAAAGAAACACAAATAATTAACTTTAAAAATCTGATAGCACTTGTTAATAACGTACTATATTTAGAATGAAAAAAAAAATTAAGATTAAAAAAAAATAAGAAGGAAATAAAAATGTTTTAGTCGGTCTAAACCTACTTAACTATACCCTGTTCTTTGACAATCTAAGTATAAAAACTTCTTTTCGAAATATTCAGTATTAGCTTTCATGTTTGTATGACAGTTACTTGAACCTCTCAAACCATTCCACAAAGACTTCAATGTTGTCTCTGACCTATAATTAGAAACATGACTCGTAAGCTTCATGAATCTAGTTTTTTATTTTTCCGAATTATTTTTCCGAATTATTTTACTGAATATACAAAATTAGTTTTTTCAATAGTGAAATGTTTATTTTATATTGTTTATTGCTTTAAAAGCGACAGGGTATACTTTTTGGAAACCGAATAGGCCGCCACACAAGTCAGAACCGGGCCTGTATAGAGTCGTATGGCAATAGTTGCAAGAGCTTACATAACCACAACCAAATTTAAATAAAATTGTGATCCTATTTTTTTATTAATTTATGCAAAATTTTAATAATTTTAACTTAGTTTGCAAAATATAATCAAATTATGTTTAAAGTTGTATGTCAGCTATTCGGATCCTTGCTTAATTAAATTGAACTCAAATTAAATAGGGATCTTGCGGTAACAATTCTTAATAATTGGCAAATATTTAGTTATACTAATGGCATAAATATGGGCAGAAATATGAACTGATTAACGAAAAGGCATGGTTAGATAAACTCAGGACTCGATCAAAACCATGTCGATGATCTATGTCTATATGTCAGACGTCCATTTCTTAGCGTTACAAACGCAGCGCTAATAATTTATAATACCCTTCCAACATTCCTATAATCCTGAGTTGCCGAAAATTTCAAACTTTCCCATTTTAAGGAAAGTACACAGAAAAAAAATAATCGTAACAGAATGAAACATTTAAGGTACACCAGCAAAATAGATTATTATTACAAGAATAGAGCTTTTACGTTATTCTTAAACTTTATTTTTCACCTTGAGCTTTATTTTATCAAGCTCAAATATTTGAGCTTGATATTGAGCTCAAATATTTGAGCAATTGGTCGTACCTGGGCTTTCTTGTTTTAAATTCATTATTATAATTTGCTGAATAAAAGAAGAATTTTTAAAAAGGCTATTTAAGACTCATATTGTAAAAGTGACGTTCTCATTAGCAACTTTATGTTACAAGAAATTTCAGCCTTTTAAGATTCGGGAAATAGAAAAAAATATTTCTTCTTTTGACTCGGACAAGCGTATAAATGAATATGTATCTTTCAAAATTAGAAGTAGAAGATATATATAGAACTTATTTGATGGTTTTATTAGATTTCCTTTAAATTTTAAATTCCATTAGCTGAACAACCTTGCAATTAATTAAAAAATAAAGGAATACAATTATACTACCATTAGTAATCTTTTTTATTTTTTCAAAAACCGTGGCAAAATTTATGGCGGATATTTATGAGGTTTGCTGAATTACTAGATGCAAGAGTATCATCTACTTTTTTAAAAAGTGTAGAAAATATCAAAATATTTACATTTATTGTAATGACCAAAAGACTTAAATTTTAAATAAAGGAGATATAAAATATTGTCTTTGACAAAACAACATTTTAGAAAAAAATATGGTGAATCTATCCTATTGAAATATTAATTAATATTATTTAAAGCATTCTTGTCCTTTCACATAGCAGTCCTTTTGTACATTTTGCTCCATTACACAAAAAATTAAAACATAAATATACATTCAAATACAGAAGTTAATTTATTCTGATTAGTTTTGAAAGAAAGAAAATGAATTTAAAAAAAATTGATTTTATTTTTCGAACATGCAAGAAATTCAGGACAATTGGGGTGTATTCAAAAATTGATAATAAAAACTCATTATTATGGTACCCATTAATATAAGAGACAAAACTTTGCAATAAATTTAACCTTGCGAATATTCAAACGTATACAAAATAATCTTAATTCAATACAAAATTGGACACCAACAAAATAAAACTTTTTCTGGCCTTTTTAATAACAAATTCATTGAATACGTCAATAAATTTACATATAACAGTCATTTTCTTTAATTAACCATTTTGTGATTTCATATTTCTTTTTTAATCAGATTGATGTCAGGCACAAAAAAACAAAATATTATATGCAATTCCTTTAGATTCATGTAAAAAAGGATCCTTACGTAAAATTATATTATTGATATCCATTATAGTTAAATATTTATGTACATATATAATATAATTCAATTGAAGCAGATGTTAGAGAATAATTTTCGGCATTATGAAGACAACAGAAAACAAAAATTGCTAAAATGAGATTTCAAAACAGTTACATATCTTGTTACAGTTACACATTCCCCTCTTTGAAAAATCAATAGTTGTTCATATGGAAAACCTCTGACGAAATTGCACTTTTTTCAATAACCGGTTCGAATTTTGTTTGTAAACAATGAAAGAACTAGATTACTTGCAAAGAATTTTTTCGAAAGTGCATAACGTCATACTGCTGCAAATTTTAATTGATGCCCTTAAAGGGCATGTAAATTGCAATTACCTTTTAATTCCATGCTTCAAACGAAAAAGATGTACCATAGGCATCTAATAACTCAAATATTGCTAGCACTAGACCATATTTGCGACCCGTCAAGAATTTGGTTTTTTGTTAAAATATTTTTGCCGACACCACATATTCTTGCAAGCACATCTTTTTATATTTGAAATAATTTTTTTTGTTTTACGTTCCATTTAAAGTTTTATACCAGAGCGCTGGTTCATCTTTGGGGTTTCGGTAATCCTTTACATTACTTGATTTTGAGTTGGTTATTAAGGGATAATTAACTATTTTTCATTTTATTATAATTATTTCAGTTGAAATTAATTTCTCCATGAAATTATTTGAATTAAATAAAACAATATTTTTTTTCAGTAAAATTTCAAAATTAATTCAGATGTCTCAAGTGTTTTGTTTCTAAAAACTTCTTAGAATATTCATTAATATTTAAAATATAATAAGTTTTAACAAATTTCAAATTTTGACAAATAAATATTGTAATAAATTTAATTTACCACATAGCCATTCGAAAATACTTAATCGCCTACTTATATAAAATATTTCAATTTTTATTTTTAATTATTTCAAAAATCTTATAAAGGTCTCAGGTGAATATTTTACAATTTCCGTAAGAAATATTTTATAGATAAGCATAATTAAATTATAGCTATATAATTGAATAATCATTATCTTTTAGGAACAAATAAATCAATTTCAATATTTTATTTTGTTCTTTTAAAATATTTAAACAATGACAATTTTCTTCAATTCAAATTATAACTATATAAAAACCGAAGACGATTTTCGTTGTAAAAAATTTTATTATCGTTCAATCATAATAATAAATCATCCTTATTTGCACCTTGTAACCAATTTTAATGAAAAATACTTTCAAGGATATTTTACGCGATTAAATACCTATCTGAACACAATCTACTTTTTTGTTGTAACTCTGTTTACCTATATAAATGTAGCTAAGTATGATTTCAAGAACAAGATTATCTAATTGTATGATAATTATATTATTCACATTTTTACAGAATAACTTTAAAATGTTACATGTCAACGTTTCACTCCAGAGAAATGCAGTTTTTTACTAGAATCTTGCTTGTGCACATTAGTTTCTGTAAATCAAGGAAGTAAACAGTGTTTCAAAAGTTTCTACCAGTCGTTTATATAAACAAATCTATAGTTAAGGTATATCCTACGACACTTTATATTACAATTATAGAAGAAAGATAGAAGAGAGCTGATATTATAAAAGACAGATTACCTCACTCATTTTTCATCAACTAAGAATTTAAAATCTCTTGTTTACACAATTTTCTATATATGTATGTCAATAAAGCGTGACTTACCTATAAAATAATTCGTCACTGTTCTCATACGCTTATGTGCTAATACTATCCAAATCACAATAAGATTACCACCTGTCGCAACAATTACCATGCCACCAAAAAGGACACTCCATATTAGTTGACGCCACCATGGCAAAATGAATGATATTTCTTCATCTTCCTCTGGACTAACAGTTGAATTAAAATCGCTACTAAAATTTAAAATAAATGAAATTTTAAAAAGAAAAATTTTTTCATTTATTAAATAAGAAGGTTTTTAAATAATATTAAGATGCTTAAATTTAAAAACGTGCCTAAAATTTTTCATCGTACTAAAGTTTAAGATTTCTTAAATTTCATTTAGAGTGCCATATAATAAAAGAATAATAGTAAACTTATTTTTAATGCATTGCAAAGCTTTGAAATTCGATTGGTTTCGATACCAAACTTAGAAATAGCATCTTGTGTAAACTTTAAGCACTTTGGGTAATAATTAATTTGGGATAAATTTTTTTGGAGATAACATATTATTATTTTAAATTCTCGTTGTATAAAAGGCTGCTGTAAACGGCAAAATTATATTATAACATTTTGTGTTTATTTATAAATTTAGATATATTTGTTAATTTTTGTAATTTTGCTGCATTCAAAATATTCCAGGAGTGCCATTTTAGTGAAATCCTAAAGCGAATAACAAACATGTAATTATGTAATTTAATAGATTTTGAATCTGCCACTAAACAAAGCCAAATACACATAAATCCGACGTTTTACAATAGTCTACATTCAGTTGAAAACTTATACAAAGAAGTCCTAACGATTAAACAGGGTGATTCACAAATCAGTGCTTTAATTGTAGTACATAAAACACAAGAGGTAATATGTTAATTTCAAGCTCTTTATTAGACCTTTTAAAAACTGTTTATTTGAAGCATATATCTTCTTTGGAACGAAAGTTATAAACAAAAACTTGATCAAGTAGATATTTTATAAAAAATTCTTTAAAATCCTTTAACTTGGAAGCCATTGAGATTTGACAGCTATAGTGCCAATCAAAAATTTTTGATGTTCTAAACGATTGTAAATGTTAAGGCACTGATTACTGAATCACCATATACAGGGTGATTCAGAAAGTTATACAATATGTACCACTGGTTAGAAGATCGAAAATTTTTAATGTTTGTGGACTTAAATTAAAGCTTAAACAGGTGTGCAAAATTTTATAAAAAAAATTTCAAGGTTTTAAACAATTTCTTACGAAATTATCTGGTTTGAAAAAACTGAAAAAATCAAAGGAAAAATTTTATTTTCTTTACAGTTCGAATGCTTAGTATTCCGATGGTACATAAAATACAGAATCAAGTATTTCTATTTTAAGTCCGTTACTAGACCTTTCTGAAACTGTTTGTTTGAAATTCCTATCTTTTTCAGCACCGAAGTTATAATCAAAACAGTCTGAATAAGTGAAAATTTCGTGAAAATGCGTTTAAATCCCTGGAACTCTGAAACCCTTGAGATTTGGCACCCAGTCCGGAACAAAAGTTTTACCCATTTTCGATCTTGTAACCAAAGGTATATATTGTTGTGTAACTTTCGGAATCACCCTGTATAATCATTTGGAATTTTTTGTAAGCTGTTGTTGTAAAATAATAATATGGTTTTAAAATTGAATTCGATTCTTGATAATTAATTCTAACAGGAATAAAGAATGTTTGTATATAATTATTATACTAATTATGTATATGAACATTCTGTTTGTAGTACGTAGCACGTTTTGCTGAATAAAGTGAATACTGAAACAAATTAAATACAGCAATCAGATTTGATATGGTATTATTGTAATACGCATCCAAATTCTATTATGTAATATTATGTATAGTGATTTACGCGTATTATTATTTCAAATTGATAAGGTAAACGGAAAATATAATTGTTCAAATGGCATAAACAGAATTAAATAGAACTTACAAAAACCTAAATTTACCTCCATACATACATACATACATACATATATACGGTACACCCACATTATATAAATAAATATTAGCACAAAAAAAATGTGATGTGGCCAACATATAACTGACGACTTTTGTTGGATCAGATTATTAAAATGTGCTTTAAGGACTTTAAACATTTATTTCACATTTTATGAAGAGAAAAAGTAAATTTTAATTATTATGCCACGAAAAATGTAAATTTAGTTCTTGAAAGAGATTCATTTTTTGTCATGGAATTTCCCTGTAAAGTTTCCATAAATATTTTTGCTATTAACATTATAATAACTTAATTTTAAATATTTTACGGAAGCTATAGCAAAAGTTCAGTTTCTCAGATTTGACACAAGCCAAAAGTTGAGTAATTCATCACATGCTCGAAATAAAATCAGATATAAGTCTTCATGAAGACCGGTTCAGCTGAAATACAAAAGTGCATAGGCAAATTGACAAATAACCTAGCACACAGCACATCTTCTTTAGGATTAAGAAGCGTATTTCCGTTGCAAAATTGACATCCGAATTATAGTGCTAACGGGTAACCTCCCTTAATGTATGCAATTTGGTTGGTAATAAAATTATTATATACATAAGCAGTTATATAACAACATAAAAATAATTATAAAAAACTTATTTAATATATAAGTAGGTACATATGTAGTTGTAAAAGACTTACCTATTAGAACTATTATTCGTAGCTATTGTACTCGATAAAATACTACTGTAATTAAATGTATTACTGCTATTATCCTCTTCTAAATAATTCGTAAAATCAAAAACCGTCAATGGCCCGGTAATATTAAAATTATCATAATTGTTGTTTAGAGAAGATGATGTTAATGATAACGACAGTAATAATGACGATGATGATGACGGTGATGGCAGCGTCGTCGATAAATAATTCATTGTTTAATAATATTTTGTTTTTCTTTTGTATGTTTCTATTTTTTATATTATAATTATTACTGTTGCGTACGTTTTTTTTTTATTTTTATGACAACACTATCTATGTTGTCGGTAAGTATTATACAATAATTATTATTAAATATTTTTCTTTGCCCTTTTGTATAACCTACATAATATTCTATGTATTCATATGATTTTTTTTTCTAATTTTTGCTTTTATTTATGAAATTAGTTATATAAAAATTATATAATTTCTACACATATCATAAATCACTTTTATATTATAATCGATTTTACTTTCATTTTCATTTTGAATATTCATTTTTGTTCTCATTGTTAATTTTTATTGTTGTATTTTCTATTCATTTGGTATTAAAAGATCACAAATATTATTTTTTTTAAATATTAAGTGCTTTTATGTAAATATCATGTATATAGTAGTTATTTATTTTCATATTATGTTCTAGTGAATTGAAGTAACTAAATAAATAAATAAAAAAAAAATAATGGTAATATTATTAAAATGTCACTTTAATGCTCACTTTTTTATTACGTAAATTATAATGCCATGGTTGGTTGATATTATTTAGGGCAAGAATTATTTACCAATAAAATGAAATTCATTTAATATGTTGGGGCTGATATGAAATATGAAAAAAAAAAATTTTTTTAACCAGATTTTATTGTTGTTATGTTGTTTGTTTACTCTTTATTTATTTATTTTTTTTGGTTTTTTTTCCTTGTTGTTTTGTTATTTTTGTTACTTAATATGTTTTTCACCTTTTTTAACATTGTTTTTTTTTTGTTGCTTTTGTCGGGTTTTTGTGTGATGTTTATTATGTGAAATATTGTAAATATTTCACTTTAGGATTATTATAAAAGGTTTGTTTATTGTAGAAAGCTTTCATCTTTTATTTTCAATTTTTCTACTTTATTTTTTTTATACTTTTGTTTTATTAAGTTGTTTAACATTTTATTGTTGATTGCATAGAATTACACCTGAAAGTAATAAAATAAATATTAAAATTGTTGATTGTCTTGAATTTATAATTATAATATATGTATAAGGTATTAAAAATATACAATAAAAATGTTTGAACATCATATTTTGAAAATAAAAAATCATATTTTCTTTTTACATAAGTACCAATAGGATAGGTTTATGAGATGCGCATTTTCAAAAATTTTACGAAATAGCTAATTATATTTTTTTTATTCCATTATCTTAATATCCTTATTAAATTAGCAATAATATTGTTTATTGCGCGGTAATTGTATACAAAGGTGTTTAAACAAAAAAAAAATTAAATTGAAATGAAGTGCACATATTTATTAGCATGGGGACGTTGAAAATTTATTAGGAGGGAAAATAAATATATTAACAATATTCACACAATACGATATTAAAGCTGGTAATTGTACTCTTTTTAATTCTTAAATTATTTCGTAAATTTTACAGTCTTTACTAAACGTTTCTAAGTCCGTTTTTGAGAATTTTTTATGCATGAGAAAGCCCTAATGTTTTTGATATACCTCAGTTTGTTGACCAAAAATTGTTAGACAATATAAATAATTCAATGAAATTTGAATTTAATTAAAAAAGTAAAGAAGTAAAAATTTTTGAAATACATGTAGGTACTGTAATTTTGAAATAATTTGAAACAGACTTTCAAAAGATACCTGTTGTATTTCAATTGAACCCGAAAACTGTAGTTAAATTTCGACTCCATATAGATATTTTTGCAATCACTGATATTTTTTCAAAAAATCAATTATGATTTCGTTTCTTAAAAGAATAACTTCATTGCAGCTTATAAAATTTAATATACTAGCATTATATAAATATCATTTTGTAATTAAATAATGCTACGGAATGTAAAAAATAATATCAAAATTTTAGACAAATTTATTTCAAAAAAGAAATAACATTAAAAACAATTTGCACAGAAACAAAAAACTTAATGACAGATTTCATTTCCAAAAACAGAAATTCCATTATTATAAAATTTATGTTGTCATTTTTGTATCTGCTATATGGTATTTAAATTATATTTTTGCATTTGAAAATAAATATTTAATTTAAAAATCCTTTTAAATATCATTGTAACTCTGATGAGTATTTGCTCTTTGATTGCGACACAATTAAAATGTTTTATACAAGCATTTATGTTCGAATGAAATTTTTAAATTATTTTGTCTTAACCATAAATTTTCCTAAATCGATTTTGCCAGTTTGTTGTCTTACTTTCTTATTGTTATTATATTATGTAATATATTGGTATATTTTATTGTATGAAATTTTCATTTAAATTACAATATAAATTATCATTTTAATATGAGGAAATATTCTCCAAGGACATATTTCCATGTTGCTAATGAAAGGATAATTTGATTGTTTGTTGATAAATTCTTTAATCTTATTATTGTTTTCAAGTGATTAAACAGAGTAATTGATATACGGTATATGTGTATAAGAATTATATAAAGAGTAAGAATTTTAGTAAGTATTTAAACTGTTTAATTAAAAACTATTTAAATTTCTAACGATTTTATATAATTTTCGAATTATTTCGAAAAATCGGAAAATTATGCAAATTTGACATTGAATATTTTATTAGTTATTACACGAAAACCAAAGAAACTTATTGTAGGAGTTCAAATTAAAATAATTTGCTATATAAGATCACGAATTTAGAGTAAATCATGTATAAATTTTGTTCGAATATTTAAAGTGAAGCAGCTAAGCACACGATTCTATTAGCATATCACTAAAGTTTACTTAAACGTCGACAAACTTAAATGACTTTAGTCAACATCAAGCCTCTTTAATATGCTTTGATTTTTTGTTTTTCCGTTTTTATCTTGAGCATAATACTTGGGTAAAACATATTGGATTTTCAATTACAGGCTAATTTCAATTACATAATTTGGAAAAATATTAAAGCTAGATTCATGAAACTCGGCAGTCGTATGTCCAATTTTAGGTCAGATACATATACGTCCAAAGTTTTGGTAAAATTACTTGACAGGTTCGGGTAGCTGTCGTATAACTCCGAAAGTTAATTTTAAAAAAAGTTAAGCAGTTGTGTGTCCAATTATAGGTAAGGCATAATATCCGAGTAGTTTCTATTGAGTGGTTATTTCTAAGTATTTCAAAATCAAATTTTGAAACTCAGATTGCAAAAGTGCAGGATATTATTCAGTCGGTTTATACCGACTGAAATGTTTTTACTTGCTTAAATTCAAATGTTCACAATCACTATTCAAGTTCAATCAAATTTCGCTGTATTTATATTATTTTATTAATATAATTACATTTTTAAAAATAATTTTCTATAGCTTTTATTCAATTATGTTAGAAATTATGTATATGTACATTATAAATAATTTTTGATTATATACGCACGCATAACGTACTAAGGACAGCACTATTGGAGAGCAGAAACTATTAGGTGCAAAACCATTTCTGAGACCAATTTTTTTTTCCTTCTTCACTCCTAGGAGGAGTATAGGGCTAGTGCATGATATCTATCATGTCCTAGTTTCTACAGTCATAGAGAGTTAGCTAGGTATAGGTGACTAGCCTACCGAAGTTTTTTTTTTATTTATATTAAATAATATTTCAGTTTATTAATATTTACTGTTTATTTTTCTTAGTCTTTAGTATCGAATATTATGAATATTTGGAAATTACTTGTATAATATTTATTAGTATTGCATATACGTATTAAGTTATATAATATTGAATATAATTTTTATAGTGACCTGACCGGGGTTTGAACCCCAGACCCTTCGGTTAAAGGGCCAGTGCCATAACCACTGCACCAATCGTCAGATTTAGAGACCAATTATTACATGGCAAATACAATGTAAACACGAAAGCTCATTCAGGGAAAATGCTATAAAAAGACAAAAAATAACTATTTCAAGGTAACAGAATTAAATTTTTAATTCTTTTCAAATTTCATCTCTAAAAAATGTGTACTTTTTGCAATAGGTTTTATTATATTTTTTTTTTCCCTTATTCCAACATTTTTTTATGTATAAATTCGGTAGGTTTTAATAATTTAAAAAGGATACGGAAGGATTTTTTTTCCTTAAATTCTTTAAATACCAATTTCTTTTTGGTTTGTTTTTTTTTTTATATTGCAAGTAATGTAAAATATAAAAATTTCTTGTTAATATCATTTTTATTATACGCTTTGTAAGTCATTCTCTATAATATTAAATGTTTAAATATTAAAAAAAAATATTTTGTTGTGCTTAAAAAGCAGACCGAAAGTTGTAAAGAAAGAAAAAACAAGAACCCAAAAAGAACATATAAAGCTAAAAAATTATGATAGTCCTGTACCGGCAGAAAATCATTAAATTTGTCATCAAAACAAAGAGTACTTCAAGTGGCGACACCAAATATTCCCGTATAAGAGAATTATAATAGGAAATAACAACAAAAATTTCAACACATAAAGTGGAATTAATTCCAATGTGTGTATGTACATATGTAGATAATATGAATTTCAAGGATATTGTTGTATAATATTATTATATATAATTAAGTATATAAAAAGTCAATTTAAGCATTAATAAAAATTATGTAGGTTATTTTTATTGAAAAGACAATACTCGTAAAAGTTTTTCGCTTTTTTTTTTTGTTTTGAGGATTGAAAAGGGCACGGACTATAAAAAGCATAGAAGAAAAAAAATACGTTAATGAAATAAATTAAAGAATTCAATAAATTGTTGAAATATTAAGGTTATGTATTAAAAAAAAACTCAAGTAAAAAATTATGTAAGAGAAATGTAAGACAAACAACCACACCATGAAGCGTTTTTTTTTTTAAAAAAATTATTATTTTGAAAAATTTATGCGGGTGAGTACGTGTTAAATTAAGAAAACCAATCCAAAAGTGACCATCGAAGATCTTTCTTGCTTTAAAACTCAATAAAATTTTTCAAAACCTAAAGTTTACCTCAAAACTAACAGTATTTGAAGTTTTCCGACCTGCGTCAAATATCCCTCTCTTGAAAACAGGAAAACATCGGCAAATAAATAAGTTCTTGCATTTAGAGAGTAGCTATCATAAGTAAATTTAAAACTTTAAAAACCAAAAATTTAAAAAAAACTTGAAAAAATTAAGCAAAGGAGTCTTAGTTAACACAATATTATTTTTCTTAGGCAAAATTTTTAAGTATTCGTCCATTCTTTCACATTATTAGTTTTCTAAAGTGTGAAAATTCAAATTTTG